GTTTACTTGATTTAAAACATCGTACCAAGTGTAGATCCGAAGATAAGTGTATTCCAAATATGGCATTATTGGATGGTACTAGGAATTGTTTAGGTGGTGAGGACGAAGTGCCAAATTTTGTATGCTCGTCAATTGAATTGTGCCATGAAAATGATAAAACTTTATTTAAAGCTATATGTAATGGTTCGGTGGAATTTTCATCTATACTGGAAGCAACAGATGAAACAAATTGTGAAGAATGGCCATGTCGTACACAGTACACAATTTGTGACAAAACTTGAAATTGCAGAAATGGTAAAGATGAATTTAATTGTCCATATTTTCCCATCAACTGTAAAAACTTTGAACATTATTGTGTCAAACCCGAAACTGATGAACTAGGTTGCATAGCAGTTGATTATATTAATAATAATCAAACTGACTGTTTAGGATCAAGCGATGAAAGAGAATTTTGTCGTCAAATGTATCCGGACATATCATCTAAAAGGTATCGTTGTTGGAATGATACTCAATGTATAACCCCATTACAATTATGTGATTGTGTCAAGGATTGCTTGTACGGTGATGATGAATTAGTATGTTCATGGATGAAAAACAACAAGTGTGATCTTCAGAATTTTTATTGTAAAGATGGACGGCAGATACCAAGATCTTTTCGATGCAACGATAACCACGAATGTGAATCTAATGAAGATGAAATTCTTTGTGACTTAATAGATCGATACAGACCATCGAACAATTATTTTGAGATTAAAAATTTTGTCGAGTATCCATTACTGTTCAACACTAATATTGATGTTTTGAAAATAAGGCCATTAAATGAGAAGAAAATTATGATGTCTTCAACGAAAAAGGACGATGACATTTATCGTGTTTGGTATTGTAATCGTGGAATTTTGGTACAATCAGTCAGTGGAAATTATTGCTTTTGTCCGCCATCTTATTATGGTAATCGGTGTCAGTATCAAAATGAACGTATAACAGTGACACTTCAAGTTCAAAAACTAAGTGCATTTGAATCATTTGATGTTTTCAAATTAGTAATCTTATTATTTGATGATAAAAACAGTATTATTTCTTACGAACAAATATTATACATACCATCAGTATTTGTTGCTTGTAGACCAAAATACCTTATCTATTTACTCTATCAAACTCGTCCTAAATTATACTCAAACTATTCTGTTCGTATTGATGTTTTTAGTGTAAATGCGTTGAATAATATTATTGTATATAAAGCAAGTTGGTTGTTTAATATTCCATTTTCATTTTTACCCGTTAATAGACTTGCAGTAGATTTAGTAATATCTATAAAAAAATCGGAAAAAGTGGCTTGTCAAGATGCAAATCTAAAATGTGAAAATGGACAATGTTTCCAATACTCAAATTCTAAGACATATTATTGTAGATGTAACAAGGGCTGGTCTGGCAGATTATGTGATATTCAACATCAGTGTCCTTGTTCACCAGGCTCAGTATGTATTGGAACAACTATTGACTCAAGGCCAATATGTATATGTCCGTTAGGGAAAATCGGTCCATTATGTTATATTTTTCACGGATTATGTAAACGAGATAGCTGTAAAAATGGTGGCATTTGTGTCGTTTTGGATCAGAGAGTGTCAAGAGGTTTCTCTTTTGGTATCTGTTCATCAGCAGAATACTACAGTGAATTTTGTCATCGTATAAGAAACAAAGTTCATATTTCATTCGTTGGTGTATCAGTACCAATGTCACTATTAGTTCATTTTATATTAATATATAATTACCACTTGCCGGACCGCACTACATTGGTCAAACAAATACCTATGTATCAAAATAATCTTATTATACATCGGTCATCAGATCAATTATTTCAAATTATTTATTTGGAATTTCAAAATAATTATTATTTAATTCATTTACGTAAATCTAAGATAAGTTCAAAATACACTAATGCAATAGTTACACCGTCAAATAGATGTCCACATATACAAGAATTACTTAATAATACAATAGTCTCATACCATTTATTAAAAGGAATAAAACAGTATCATCGTCCATGTCAACAACAACATGAATTGAAATGTTTTTATGATGAAACACAGATGTGCTTATGTACAGATGATCATAATTCAGATTGCTTTGATTTTGATCACAATATGACGTATAATTGTAACGGTTATAATTATTGCGAAAACGATGGAATATGCTTTCAAGATCAGCCATACTGTCCTACAGATTCTGTATGTATATGTAAACCGTGTTATTATGGGAATTTATGTCACCTGTCATCGTCATATTTTGTACTTTCACTTGACGCAATTATAGGTTATCACATTCAGCGTTATACAAAGATTAATCATCAACCGTTCATAGTTAAATTAAGTATTGTAATAACAACAATTATGCTTACATTTGGTATTATAAGTAATTTATTATCGATATTAACATTCAAGCAGAAGAAAACACGTGATGTTGGTTGCGGTATCTACCTACTATCATCTTCAATAATTTCTCTACTAATAATATGTATGTTTGTCTTAAAATTTTGGGGTTTATTATTAACGCAAATGATGCTTTTCACAAATCAAACATATCTTCATGTTGATTGTATTCTCACTGAATTTTTATTAAAGTTTTTACTACCAACAGATGATTGGTTAAATGCATCTGTTGCTATAGAACGTGTAGCAACAGTTACACTAGGTGCAAACTTCAATAAGTCTAAAAGTAAACGATCAGCTAAATTCATTATAATTTTTATTATCGTTATAAATATCGCTAGTTCAATACATGATCCAATCAATCGACGATTAATTGAAGATCCTCAAGACCAACGTTCATGGTGTTTTGTCAGTTATCAACATTCAACTTTACTAACATCTTATAATACCGTAATTAACATGATACATTTTATTCTACCATTCATTATTAATTTCGCATAATCGTTGATCATTATCATTACAACAGCGCATAAGCGATCTATTGTTCACACAAGTCAAACCTATTATGAACATTTAAAAGAACAATTTAAAACCTATAAACATTTAATTATAAGTCCATGCATTCTAATTATATTAACAATTCCACGGCTGATTATTTCATTTATTTCTGGTTGTATTAACACAGCTCGCGAACCGTGGCTGTGCTTATCTGGCTATTTTATTTCATTTATGCCATCGGTAGCAACGTTTCTCATTTTTGTAGTACCATCACATACATATAAAACAGAATTTTATTCAGCAGTAAAATACCACTATGCACGTACTACACAATATTTGCATACTGATGTAACTTTAACTTTATACGGTATCGTTGCTGTTATAATTTGTCTGAAGCACAGACTCTACAATTTTATAAGAATCTTTGCATCAAGTATATTGAACATTCGTACAATTTTCAAATATGACTGAAGAAATAAACGAAAGAAGGAAATACATTTTTTTGATATGAGAGAGAGAAATAGACATTCTTTGTAAGAGAAAAAAAACACTTTTCAATTATAATATTTGTATTTATGGAACTGAGAAGATGTTTGGAACTATTCGATTGGAACATAAGTTCTGCAAGTTGGAGATCTTTGGAAAACTAGAGCGTCTGTAAAGATTTTCCAATAGTATTGTATTGCTTTTTTCTCATGGAGTGATAGCTCGGGATGTCCTCTCCAAAATCAAGGTAAAGTGAGACCTTGATTTTTCACGGTTTGGGCGTTGTATCCGATTTGATACGAGTTTCAGGACTGGCTCCCGGTGACTATTGGTAGCCTTAAAGACTGATGGACTATCGGTAATCAACCAAGGTGAGTTTTGTGGAAATATTTATTTTTATAAAATGTTCTAAAAATCTACCGAAAAGCCAGTTTTACGAAAATTAGGGTTTCCAGGCTGTTGTCACCTAATATTAAAAAATTCACTATTCATTCAAAAAACATCAGAACAAGCTCAAAATCTCAGGATACGATTAATGTTCTCCGCTAAACCTGATTAAAAGGTCGAAAAAATCGAAAAGCTTTTTGTTAATAGGTTTTCCAAAAACCCTTTTGGAAAGCCTGAGGGTCTCTAAAATTTGTTTCGAGACCTCGTATGAATGGGATATAGAATAGCTTAAATACTCTATATTCTGAAGTTTTGAACTCATTCTGATGTTTTGTGAGTGAATAGTGAATTTTTTAATATTAGGAGAAAACTGTGACAGTTTTCTCTGTAAATCTTTGTGTTGACAAAAACATTTGATTGTGAATGTACCCAAAAAATGACCGAAGATCTTTTTTTTCGGGATTCCAGACAACTCATCTGTAGAGCAGTTCTTTTTTCTTTGTACCCTGCATTCTACCATATAGAAACGTCTCGTGCCCTAGGCTATCCTACCCTATTCGCTTTCATACTCTACGCCACCCTACTCTATTGACTTCAGACAGTCTGCACCCTAAACACTGCCCTACATCTACACATAGAAAAGTAGGAAGCTTTCGTTCAGCGATCGAAGTTCACTTTTCATCCACAACCGAGGCACTTTCTTCCTTTAGGGAATGTAAAATGTTCTTTTTTTTCTTCCGTTTTTTTTCTAGCAGACATATTCACTACTAATTTACTGATTGAAAAGTATATGCAGGCATCAAGTTTAAGAGTACAAAATATTGTGCGAAAATATCTGAAATCCTACTGATCAGCTCCACATCCAATAAAAATCCTTCCTGATGAATAACAAAGTCATGCGCCACTAAAAGAGCGAATGTCTCTCAATGTTAAGCGTTCTTCATCGTATAGGGTACAGTCTATGACAAACGTCTAAACCCGTCTCTACCCTATAAAAATGCTTCGTACCCTAATGGACACTCCCCAAGAAAGTCCCCTAGGACTTCCCGGGGACTCCGTAACTGGCTTCTCTGGGGATTTTTTAGAGGAGTCCCCTGAAAATCCCTGGGGACTCCCTGTAGGTCTGTTGGTCCATCATTTTTAATTTCATATAAATAATTAGTAATTAAGTGCCACGTAACATCATTGATACCCGTGTAGCACATATCAATCATCCAAGACTGACACATAAATGTTGACTTACTAGAAGAAAATTCGTCCATTCATGCTTCATCTACTTTGCATACATTCTTTGTGCTTAAGAATTAAGTTTTTTTCATAGTATGCAAACTTTCCCTTTCCTGCAAAGTTATCTAAAACAAAACCTATAAAATTTGCTGCAAAGTGGAAGATTGCTAACTGCAGACCTGAATTCACAAGTAGAAAGCAAGAATACAGAAATTCAGGAATTCACAAATTTTAAAACAGCAGGAATTCACGAATTTAGAGCATGCAGGAAGGCAGGAATTCAAGCAAGGAGTACAGCAGGACGATGTTTAGCGCAGAGGATCTATTATTTATGTTAGATTCACGCTGTTTTTATTTAAGAGTTTCATCAGGTATTTCCTGAGATGTCGTAACCTTGCTACGTCACGAATTTATTGGCAACACTTCTAATACTGGGAGAATACTTACTATAGTGATCCTTGTGTCTAAGGCATCCACACACAGCACAATTGTGTGGAGGACTTAGAAAGATACATGATGCAACTAAAAGTCTCAAAGGAAATCGCTGGTGTTTTTTCAACTATGTTCAGGGTATTTCGCCAGTTTTCCGTCGAAAAGATGCCGAAAATTCAGAACAGAAGGTTACCTTTTATATAGTAACAGCAGCTGTGTACGCTATAATATGCAAATATATTGTTTTTGCTTCACTTGTTACCCATTAGAAGCAAGAGGTCACCTTTTAATTTTAAAAGACTTATCACTATTTAGCTAAATCGAAGAGGCTGCAAAGTTTGAAGTTGTTTAGGATATGTATAGTATGATATTGAAGTGCATAGTGGGTATGGATTTCTGAAATTTCTGACGCTGTCGATAGTTGCACTATCTATCGTGACATGAAGAAGGAGAAAGCGGAAGGGAAAAATTCTTTTAATTGTACAGTATGTGTGTTGTGCGGTGGAAGGAAAGATAAAAAGAAATCGTGTTCGAGGCTGTTTCGTGCATACCTGCCTGCCTATTCGTATAGTAGACTGTAGGGTGAGAAAAGAAAAACTGTTGTGTATGGTTTGATAACAGTAGATGTTTGTGCAGTCTGCATATATGTAGTACATATACATATACTGCAGTGTATGTAGTACAGACTTGAAATCCCTGAAATCCTAATATCACTTTATGCATATATATATATATATATACATATACATATACTGCAATGTATGTAGTACATATATGCATATACATATACTGTAGTGTGTGTAGGGGGGGGGGGGGGCGGTTGTTTGATGAAGTTGAGCCCAAACCAATTTTTTTTAAAAAATT